TCCCTTCACCGCGAATTTTCTCACGCTTGCACTGTGCCTTGTAGTGCCCTTTTTCGCCGCAGTTGTAGCAAACGACGATTTTTGAATTCCTTTTTGAATTCGCTTTGGAATGCGCGACGATCTGCTGCGTAGCTATAAATGCTCTTGCATTCTCGCTCTCTCCATCTGCATTGCCTCTGCGCTCTCCCTCTTCCATCAGCTTGATACATAACACATCAAATGACGGTAAATTGTCACGCGTCTCAATGGCGACGACAAAATTTTCGTATGGTTCGGGCAAGCTTGACAACAACACGATTGTTTTTAACTCATCATTTAATTCGATGCCAACTGTACACAAACCATCCAGAATTTCGTTAAATTCGTGTATGTAACTTGAAATGCTTTGGCCTTGAAACATGCGTTTGCCTAGCAATTTCTTGTACAGCGACACTTTCCGTACAGGTCCACTCGGCTGATGAACGTCCTTTAACTTTTTCCATGCCTCGTACGAAGTGTTGCAATTTTTAATGAAGCCCAATTGTGAAGCTTTTACACTTAGCGTTATAATTGCTAATGCCTTTTCATCTTTTGGCCTTGAACTCTCAGTATTACTAGGTTCAGCACCTGATGCCACACTCCACAATTCCGCGTGCACTAAGACAGATCGCATCTGTATGCTCCATGAGTCATAGTTATGCTCTTCCAATTTGTCTATTTGATATAGCGCACTCATTTTTTAAATGTTATATTTCTTGAGTCACCAAACGATTACTATTTCACAATACTTTGAACTTCTCCTATGAGCCTATATGCCCTGGGCCCATAACCTATTGAATAGATTATATATTCGCTGAAAAGGGAAGGGCTCAGTAGGAGTAAAGTAAAAGACAATAGTCGCGGACCGCCGTGCGTCTGTTCGCTTTAGAGTTTTATTGGAGACTGACACTTTTGCTATACATATTCTTTATGCTTACATTCGTATGCAACAGTGACAGATAACTTGTAGATAACATAAGATTATTATCTGCTTATATTAACATGCGTGCATTGGTACTTATGTTTGTATTGATTTTCAACAAGTATAAACTTTAAATAATATGAAAACGCGAGGAAAAGTATAAAAAAAACTAAATAAAACTATATATACAAAATAGAGTGAAAAAGGAAGAAAATTAAATTAAACAATATAGTAAGTATAATAACTTACAACATTAAAACAAGAATGGAGTGCTCGAGAGTCGAGATTCTTAAATACCCTAAAAAAATCCACTTCACTCGTATACAAATTTATAAAACAGTTTTTTAAAAAAATATTGAAGATATATAGTATATTTAAAATAAATGAATATAATGAAATAAAAAATGTATACATATTTAAAATACGTATAGAATTACCAGGAACTGCGTCTATCCTTGTAAAATAGACTTTCCTGTGTCTGCCACGCCTTCTTCTGTAAGCTACATACATTCGCTTTAAACTAGTATACCCTTTAAAGGGTATTAAGTATCAGTCTTAATATATATTTCATTATGGCAACAAAGAAAAGTTGTAATAGAAGTTATGATTTAAAAAAATTAGCATTATATTTAAATAATTCTTATTCTTCATGTTATTCAAATAAAATTATATAAATTATCAAAGCTTAAGGACATTTAGTTTTCTGCGAATAATACCCAATAGCATGCACATTTCTATGATACCCCAAGAATTTCTTTGAAGCGCATAAAAAAGTAGCTAATATGCAAAACTTTTGTCTGTGTGTCGGTTTTTTTTGTTAGCTGTAGTTGTATGTAGTTGTAGGTGCTGGAGTTTTGGACCTCGACTCGAGCAGGTCCAAGACATCTTCTGCTTCTTGGGGAAAGTTTGCACAGCAATTGAGCTAAAGAAATATTTAATAACTATTTCTTTGTTATTGCTGTAGCTGGTGCTAAAGTTCTTTGCATTTAGTTTTAATTCTTTAATGGAATTGTTGAGCAACACTCACACAAGGAATGGCGATGAAAAAGAGAGCGGACTGATTTATTGCTTGGCCAAAGTTGTTGGCCAAAGAAATGCTTAAAAACGGCCGCAGCTGACTTTAAGTTGAGCGCTGACTGACGCTTAAATATTTGCATGGCATGCAAAAAAAGAGAGAAAAAAATTGTTCAACTAATTAGCAAAAGTGTTGCCAGAAAATGGGAGCAAAAATAGAAGCTGTAGCCAATGCTGCGCCATTTCCGGTTTATCTTTTGTGCGAACGCAAAGCCAATTAGACAAAATGGCTGCTACTGCGACACATTTCCGCTGGTTGGCCGACCATGTGAAGTCCTCTCACAGTTGCTTGTTGTTGTTGTTGTTGCTGTAGTTGTTGGCACACTTTCGCATTTGCTAATCGCATTAATTATGCGTTGTCGTTGTCCTTGTTGTTGTTGTTGTTGCCATTTGCCTTTGCTTGCTGCTGGGCCTTCTTCTTAGTGCTGCAGGCAAAATCATTGCGCACTTTTCGCAAATGGCCAACAAATTGAACAAAAGCAAACTGCAGGCGCACGGCCTGATGGGTGTGGCCGGGTCCTGGGTCCTGGGATGAGGACAATACACAATGGCACGATGGCACAAAGACAAATACCAACTACAATATGTACTGATGATATACATTACAAGCATAATTGCCCGTCTTGGGAATTAAATTGCCGCAACTTAGTCAGTCGTTGTAGACGGCGCAGGCATTTAATTTAATTAATTATCAATTAGTTTTTGAAAATAATTATGCAAGATTTATTAAGTGGCCGCCCAAGTATAAGTACATGAGCAAATATAGATGTACTCGTAGATGTCGACATTGCGACTGTTTGTGTAATTGTAGATTTGACAAATGAGCTTGGAATTAATTAGCAAGCATATTATTTTTAAAGTGAGCAATTAATCACATCACGAATTGAGCATATTGAGAGCTAAGCTGGTTAGTCGGAGGCAGGCAAATAGTCTGGGGATTGCAGACACTACTTTGTGCGAATTTAAAAGCAATAAGTACATTAAATAATGGACATTAAATAGTGCTTGGTTCTAAAAAATCATCAGCAACTTGGGATTTTGCTTAAAAATTTAAAAAACAATATGTTTCATTTTTATAACAGCATTTTTAAAATATTGTTTATAAATTGAAAAAACATTTGAGGCATTTTTTTTAAGATTATTGAGATTATTAATCTGCCTGCAGACTACACTAAAAATTGGGGGGTAGAGTAGAGGAGAGAGATGGGAATAGCCGCATGGGAAATCTCTGCTAGATTAGCTTACAGACGATATCTGATTTAGGAGGCAGCATATGGGCTGTAGGAGTATTTTTACCCGTTTGTCTCAGCATCTTGTTAGAATGCAGTCTTCACATCACAGTTTTGGCAAAGAATTAAGGAAGCTTTTCTTCAAAATTAAATGCAGTTAGGTCTGCTTGAAAGATTCTTCTTATTGCTAAAGCATTTTACCTTGACAATGTTCAAAAAATATTACCCTTTCTTATAGGGATCCTTATTTATCAGAATATATATTGTTTCAACAGTAAAGGGAAGCTTTTTTAATTTTAAATTTCCAGGAAATTTATTAAATATATTTTAACCGTTCCACTCTTTCAAAATGATTTCTTCCTTAAAATCAAATAAAATATTTGCATCAATGAAGCATTTTGTAGCGCTTTTTGGTGACTTAAGCCTGCAGACAACATCAAAAAGTTTACCAATGGTTGGCAACTAAATTTTTGTTAACCTTTATTCTTAATTTTTTCAAATGCTGCAAATACTAGTATTTATGCTTCGTCACTATCTGCCTTATTTAAAGTTTTTCATTTGCGTACGCTGATTGGGTCGCGCAATTCGTCCATAGAAAATGTTGCTCATCATTTTCGCATTTCCACCAAATATTGAGTTCTGCCTTTTGGCTAAAACATATTTGTATGCTCAGTATTCGATTGCTGAATGTATTGCAGAGAGTTATCGCTAGTTTGTGTACAACAAAATAAATACTCGCATTGCCATTTCATAACTGTGTCCTTTCATCAAAATATTTGGCAAAAAGTTTTGCTATAAAATGCAAAACCTTTCAAATAAAAGGCAACATGTTTTGTAAACATTTTTCAAGGAATCAATCAACATTGAAATATATGGAAAATAACTGAAAAGCTACTGATATTGCTTGCTTAATTTTAGATTTGGTCATGACTTTATTTAAAAGTTGCACGCTTTTTTTTAGTCCGCTTAGCAGCTATTCGAAAAAAAAGAATTAATTCTATCCAAACAAAACTGATATTAGAAATGTTGTTCGCCACTAGCTTTTATAACTATACCCCATTCAGCCGACACGCCAAACTACTGAATATTTGTTTATGATTTTTATTGTTTATGTTATATACAAATTTTCTCAATGCCTAGGTTTCGCAATTTGAATATCCTTTATGGATTTTAAGGACGTGCATTTTCAGTACATCCGCCTAAAATGTTCGCTGAAAAGTATTTTGATTTTTTTTTTTTGCAACAAATGACTGAAACACTATTTCAAACACAAAAATTTATTTATTATTTATTAATTTATTTAAAATGTATTTATTTAGTTTTTTCAATGTTCAAAGGTAAAGGGAACCACGGAACAATGTGAGAAATAAACTTAAACAATAACATTTACAATCGATGCGTTTAGGTCTTATAAACATTCGTCAAATATAAATGGAAATATTTTGGACAGAACCTACCCCAACAATTTGTTGAAGTTTTCTTTATTGATCATATGCATAAGCTATTTTTTAAATGCATCGTGAATTATTTAATCAAAATTTTAATTTTTTGGCGGAAGCTGCCTACGCCCCTCCAGCGGGCTCAAAATTAGGGCCATAAACTAATGTTTGAAACCGCATAGCGGAGTTCTGCCAGGAAATTGTTGAATAGGTGCCTCAACTAACTATAAGCTAGAATTTTTTTATTTTTTTTATTTTAATTTTATTATTTTTGTTCATGTTAAGTTCTTTTATTTAATTTCATTTGTTACAAACAGCTTACTTAAAGGTGTTTATATGCTTCCTTATGGTCTTAATCATCAACTCGGCCTGTGCATTCGATGATTCACGCAGCAGTCCAATAACTTCCGAAATACCGCCGCCGGGACGTCCTCGATGAGCTTTGGTGACCATCGCATATAGAACGCCAGCGCAGGCACCACGTTTACCCTCCCAATTTTCGGGACTGGGATCAAGTCTTTGAAAAGTTTAGTTAATGGAGAACGTAGCTGAATGAAATATCTATAGTACAACTATATATACTTACTTCTCTAGCATATCAAACGCCTTGGCAGCCACCCAAAACTCCTCGCACTTGTAGCATTCATTGGCAATCAGTTGCAGGAGTAGAAAAGCCTCGGCATTGGTGTCTCTGGTAATAAACACATTCCAGGCTAGCTCAGGATGTCCGGAATGTATGTGACACTTGGCCAGGATCATGCAGTAGGTGTGCTGATTTTTAATGTCCATATCAGTGATCTGTACGAGCAAGTCCTCGGCCTCCTTGTAGTATCCTGTGGCGCACTTTGCCTGAGCAAAGTTGTAATTGAAAACGTCATCGTTGACGAAATAGCTGCGTATGGAGTTCATGTAGACCAGCACCTCCTCGAACTGCTCGTAGAGAAAGAAGGCGGAGGCCATGCTCTGGCGCCCTGGGATCGTATCGCATTCTGTGGCCGAGCTGCCCACCAAATGCAAATTCTGCTGGGCTGTCTTAATGTGCTCCTTCTGCTTGGAGAGGAGAGATGCACATGTGTGATGTGTCATTCATATTTTGAGGCACTCACCGATCCCAGCTGCTGTCCGAGGGCCGCATGCACCACACCCTTCAGTATATACTCATGTGGCACCGTGGGCTGCACCTCTTTCATCAGGGCGTGCGCCTCCTGTATGTCGCCCTGCTTTAGATAGTAGATGGCCAGATTTAGTCTGGCCTCGGGCACAATATTCAGCAGCGAAGGGAACACTCTCAAGGCGCCTTCGCCATTGCGAAACACCACCAGATTGTGGCGAATCAAGTCTGCTCCGAATGTGCCATTATCTGCTATGTTCTTGATCTCCTGTTCGGCAACGCGTCCGTTGAACAGGCGAAAGCGATTGCAGGCCTTCAGATTGATGGCAATGGTGCTGTCCCCATGCTGGCTCAAATACACATCCAGCACCTCCTGCGACATGTCGTAGTAGTCGAGCTTATAGAAGCACAGCGCCAGATACACATTAATGGCCAGAAAGTCCTTGTTGTCGACCAAGACGCGCTTGTACACATCGATGGCCTCCTGGTAGTGGGCACGCATATAGTGCATGGAGGCAAGGCTCAGTTGCTGTTCCACAGACGGCGAGTCCTGCAGGACTTCGTGAAACTGATGCCACTGCTCCTCGTTCGACAACTTGTGGGCCAAGTGGAAGAGCAAACGCTGCTTCAGCTCCATTGTATGCGGATTATTTTCCATCAATTGCTGCGCCTCCTCGTACAGTCCCAAATAGAACATGCAAACGGCAACATTCAGATCGAGATCTGGCAAGTTGTTGTCTGTTTGTGCGCTCGACTTAATCGTCCTGTACTGCTCCAAGGCCTGCTGATAGTCGCCCAAATGAAAGTTACAATAGGCGGTCCATTGATCGATGTGTCGCTGTTTACTTTCATTGTCCTCCTCATTGGCGTACTTAAAGGAAAGGATTCAATTACTATAAAACAAGGGACATGTGTGTTGAAAGCAGTAGGAACGATTTCTGATAATCAATCGAACGCGAAGTGCAAAATTTGTTTAAGAGAACCATGCCTGAAACTTTCTTTGTTATATATTAATTCATTCGATCTTTTCTTTGTCATTGAGAGCACAGTAGAATCTCGAAAAAGTTAACTTTTCAATTAACTTTTCTAATTGTATAAATTTGTCAACTGTTTCAAACTGTTTTTATAAATTAGATACAAACATGGGTTAATGATCAATACGATAGTGAAGACGACATACTTACCCTTGACTGGCTTGATTAAATCAAATAAATTCTGTTTTAAAAAGTTTCAAGATTTTTCTTTGTCGTTAAAAATTACAATTTTGTTTGCTCTTAATTATAAAAAAATATATAACAAATTTAAGTAACGAGGAGTCACTAATTGGGCAAAATATTCAACAAGCAAATAAGAGCTTCCCGAAAGCAATTAAAAGCATCAATACTTTGATGAAATAATAGATTATGTCAATATGTGTTGAGAGCTAATTCACATATGGAAATAAATTAAGCGTATTATTATTATTTTTTTTTTTTTTTTTTTTTACATATATACAATTTATTAAACTAGTTTTCTACTACCAATATGGCAGCTTAAGCTAGTTGAAAGTTAGGGAATACAAAAGTTGTCTATAGTAAGCATCTATAGGACGCACTTATATCTATGTACATATATACAATATTTACAATGTTTTACATTAGAAATGAAATTATATTTTATGATATATATTATATATTTTATACAAGGGATCTTGTGGGGAGATCCTTTGGATGGCACTTCTTCAATCTTCTCTTCTTAGGTTTGGACAGGAGCCGCCTCGCTAGTGCGTTGGGGTGACTGCCGAGTCGCTTCTCGTAATTGCTTGCGTGCATTTGAATGACATCGCCAACCTTGGGGACACATAAGTCTCTTTCGATGTCCCTAGTGCGCATATACCAGGGAGCGTTGCATATTTTTCTGAGTATTTTAGCTTGCGCAACTCTTATTTTATTTAGGTTCGATGCAGCGGCAATGCCATAAATTGGTAGCGCATACTTCCATATTGGACTTAATATGGACTTGTATACTGTCACCTTACTGTGCAGGGACAGCTTGTTGCATGGTGCAAGCAGCCATGCCATCTTTCCGGCTTTCGCCATGACCGATCGCTTGACCATTGTTGTATGCTTGCTGAAGTTGAGTCTTCTGTCCAGAATTACACCAAGATATTTGTGCGAATTTGTATGACTGAGCGTGGACCCCAACATTGTGATATCTCCGCATGACGACGGCCTTGTTGTAAATGTGACATTCGCACACTTGCTGGCGTTGATACCAATGTTCCAATTCAGAGCCCACTTCTCGAAACTACTTACATACTGCTGTAAGGCTTCCGAAGCTACATCGATATCTCTGCTTCTGGTAAGCACCGCAGTGTCGTCTGCGTAAGTAGCTATTAGTGCGTCATCCTCGTATACTCCAATGATCTCTTGCGGTGCAGGCATATCAGCAGTAAATAATGTATACAGGGTAGGACCGAGAACACTGCCTTGGGGCACTCCTGCACAAATTGAGCGCCTCGTGGATTTCACTCCATCAACAGCAACTCTGAAGCTTCTGTCCCTTAGAAAGCTTTCGATGAGTTGAAACAATTGAGGAGTTAGCATGCCTTTCAATTTGCAGAGGAGACCATCATGCCACACTCTATCAAAAGCTTGTTTAATATCCATAAACACAGCCACTGAGTACATCTTTTGCTCCATGGCTTCCAGGGCGAAGTTGACCACACGGTGGAGCTGTTCCGGTGTTCCGTGACTTCTTCGAAAACCAAATTGCCATTTTGGAATTCTGCGCGCCACGGCTTCGAGCTGGAGAATCCGGTCCAGAATCACGCGTTCCATCATCTTCCCGAGGGCAGGTAGCAGACTAATCGGCCTATATCCATCTACTTCAGTATGCTGTTTCTCTGGCTTTGGAATCATCGTAATTAGCGCCATTTTCCAGCAGTTTGGAAAGTGCCTCAGCCTGAGTATGTTATTCATGAGCAAGACAATATACAGCAGAGCCCTTGTGGGGAGCAGTTTCAGCGTCCTGTTGTCTAAAAGGTCTTCTCCAGGCGCTTTTTTTACCTTTAGATTTTTTATCTGCTGTACCACTTCTTGAAGTGTAACTGGGCTTGCAGGCAAGGCCATTTGGAATGGCATCTCCAGCCTAAGCTCGACTACCCTTCGCCTATCTGCTGATGTAAAGTCAAAAGGCTTAAATCTTTCCTCTAGGCTGTTTGCAAAGATTTCAGCTTTCTGCTGACTGGAATAGCTCCATCCACCTGAAGGATCCTTAATTGGAGTCTTAGGGATGACCAGCCTCTTGAATCGCCTCGTAAGCTTCCAGAGCGAGTAATTAAATGATGCATCTGGACCAGCACTTTCCAATATGTCATCAATTCTGCCTTGTCTGATTTTAGCAAGCTCTTTTTGCAGTCGATTGGACAGTCTTTTGTAGATTTGATGAATGCGAGTATCTCCAGTTCTTGCATATTCTTTCCTGACTCTTCTTTTCAGGCTTAAGAGCGCAGCAGCCGTTGGTGGTAGACTAGCTTGACTATGTTGGGTTGGCAAGCGTAAAGTTTTCGGTGCAGCAGAAGACGCAGCCAGTGAAATGTTCTTCATGAGGATTGATATCGCGTCTTCGATATCCTCTGGGCTGTTAATTTCGACGTTCAGGTTAATTCTTCTTTCGAGATCGGCTTTAAAAACATCAATACGGGAGCCAGGTGGTAGAATATATTCCCTCTTGGGATTATATTGCGGTGCATGATGTAGCGTCGCTACTACTGGAAGGTGATCCGATGCGAGCTCATATTTTGTTTCAACGGTGAGTCTGTTTAGGGCAATCCTGTTGACAATAAAGAAGTCTAGTGCAGAGGGGTTAAGCCGTGTGTTGTAAGAGTAGAAAGTTGGCTCTCCAGTAGCAAGAACTTGGCAAGTAGTACTAGCTATGGCCTCTTGCAAACACCTTCCTCGCCTGCAAGATCTGGAATTACCCCACCATTGGTGTTTTGCATTAAAATCACCGCCTACAATAACTTATCTCCTAAGGTTGCAAGCAATAGATCAAAGTCGGCCCTGCACCAAGCTTCATTGGGAGGAAGATATAGGGAGGAGACTTTGATGCTTCCACCATTCGTCGGTATAGTTACGCTGGCCGCTTGGATGCTTGTTTTTAGAATTGGCTCATTCTGTGAATGAGCGATACTTGATCTAATGATGACTGCAGAACCACTTTTAGCGGTGCCACTGGGATGATTAGCGTAGTACTGGTCGTATCCTGGCAAATATGCGTTCAAGCCAGGACGCATATGCGTTTCGGTTATTAACATGATATCGATCGAGTTTGAACTTAGGAAAAGCCTGAGTTCATCATTGTTTTTGACCAGGCCCCGTGCGTTCCATAATCCGATTTTTAACAGCGGATTTAACATTTGGATATTAGTTTTTGTACCAAGTCACGGAAGGCTCTATTGGAATCCATATTTTCCTGAATGAGCTTATACATTTGATCCATTCTTGCGTTTAGATCAAAAATCGCCTTTTCCAGCATACTAAATTTATTGTTTAGATGCCAATCTTCAGCGGAAATGTGTGCCCGGGGCGAGTTTTGGTTTGTTGGCGCGATGGTACGCTTTCCTTCAATTGGCCTTGCTGCATCAGCGTAAGAGAAGCCACTCTTAACAGCAGAGCTTGAGATGAACTGTACTTTATTGCCTTGGTTGTTTGGGTAACTCCTATTGCTACCGATGACTAGACCATCTCTCGGCAACCTCACAGCTGGCTTAAGTTTTTTGGCTAGATCAATTCTTACCTTGCAGCCTCTGAAGCTCGACATGTGGTCTTCGCCGCAATTAGCGCATATAAATTCCCCATTATCATTCAGGTTACATGATTTTGAGCCAGTATCATGGTCCCCCGAGCATTTACCGCAAACCGGCTTTTTAAGGCAATAGTTCCTCGTGTGCCCGAAATCTTGGCATCTGAAGCATTGTACCAGCTCTTTACTCTGTTTGGCCTTTGATATTGTAACCCTGTGTCTACCAATTTGAGTTATTTTTAGTGCCTCAGCAACGTTGGGTGCGTTCTGGAGGTTAACGTAAAACATATTTTGTCTTGTTTTGACATTATTTATGTCCTCACCATCCTCCTCATTAATTTGAATGTTACGCCAGTCCGGTTTTCTGGGGCAATATATATTCAAAACTGTAAAGCCCTTGTCGGTAAAGGTGCGCTCTATTAATTGCCTGGGTACATTGGGATGAATATCTCTGAGCACCAATCTGCAGGGTTTGTTCTCCTTCAACTGGTGGTGCCAGAATTGACAATTTTGATTGGACAATAATTTGATTATTGCACGAAACGCATTCGAATTCTTCGTATAAATACGCGAGATCCCAGATTTCGATGTGCGTATGTCGTAATCGTCAGGGGAGACAGCAGAATTGAGCGCCACCTCCAGCTTATCCAATTTGTTAACTTGTGGCACACATATAGCAGGAGGCTTAGGAATACTACTTCCCTGCTGGAAACGGCTGGCTTCATTTTGCTGGCTCGATGGATCTTCGGAATCTGGCTCTTCCATTTCCATAATGGAATCAGCTTCTTCCGAAAGGGCTGCAAATCTATTATTTTGAAGCGCTGCCGGAGAGGAGGACGCAGTTCGTTGTCCCTGGGTTGTATTGACAGGAGTTGGCTTATTTTTTTGAGCCGATTTTAGTGACTCGACGGCTCCTTTCCGCTTCCTATTAATACCGGGTACTGACATTTGAAACGAGCAAAATTTGTCCAGAGTTGGATTTGCAACTAAGTTTGTGATTGAAGCCGGTGTACTCACAACGGCGGGTGTGGAGCACAAACTGCCATTTGATGTCGCTACTGTAGTATACATTGATTGAGAGTTCACCACAGAAAATGTTAGGGTACTTGTAGTCGATGTACAAGTGGTTGAGGCAATCCAGTTACTGGTTGAGCTTGACGGCTTTAAGTATGGTTTTCCCATTGACATATGCAAGTCCTTGGTTATTTTTGCTCTCAGCTCCGAAGGTGATTTACCAGAAATTTTTCTCATCTCCACGTACTTCGGCAGCTTATTGACTACTTCCTCAGCTGCTCCGAGAGCGGCCGAGTCTTCATCAGCATTCATTTACGTGAGATAAGATGACTTGCAAAAACAAGCAAAGAAGAAAAATTCTGGGCTGTCTCTGCTTCGATGACGTGTATACGTCAGCAGAGCAGCCCCATACAGCAGATTAATTGTTGATTGGAATCCAAGAAAATAAGGATACTAAACGATTGCCAAAAAGCCAAGGTGAAACTAGGTTTCCGGGTGATTTTTTTTTTTTTTTTTTTTTTTTTTTTAACGCACTATACGCGAAATAATTGAAAAAGAGGAATTTACTACAATTTTTCACGGAGCGCACAATAAAAAGTCGACTAGTCACTTTGACAGCTACGATTATTATTATTAAAACAATATTTTTATTTAATTTCGACAACCGCTTAGAAAAGTTAATAGTTCAAAAAAGTTAACTATCCTGAGGACATTTCGGTTAACTTTTTCGAGATTCTTCTGTTTTATAATGTTTTAAGATTTTTCTTTGTTGTAAAAAATAACAATTTTATTTACTCTTAATTTTCAAAAAAATAAAAGAAATAAAAAAAAAAATGAAATATGTAATTATGTCACTATTTCACAAATGAAAATAAATTAAGCGTATTTTCTCCGAAAAATCGATATTTTCAAATTTGACAACCGCTCAAAAAAGTTATTGGTTAAAAAAATTGATTAAATCATTTGCACATTACAGTTCACTTTTTCGAGATTCTACTGTACCTAGTTTTATAAAACGCGCCATTGATTCCCAAAGGCAATTTTTTTTCTTTACTTAATGAACTTATTTGCGGAACTATTTGGTCTTTTTTTTGCCACTATTAATTCTCCTTAAAGGGGCTCTAAATAGTTTTGAATTGATTGCTAAGTAGTCTTGGCTTGCATCTACACTTTTAAAATTAAGAGAAGTAAAATGTTAAACTCGCACCCGACTCATTCATACTCTTTAATAAGTGGTGGTAACTACTTAACTTGTAATGAAATAAATAAAACAAGAGTTAAGAATCATGAAAAGAATAACTTGCTGCTTACAAATTAAGAAAAATGAAAAGAATAACTTGCTGCTTAAAAGTTAAGTTAAATGAAAAGATTGAGATTAAATCACTATCACAATCACTCATATAGAGGCTCGTAAGTAACAGTTACCTCCAGGAAGGCTCTGGCGCCCGTATAGTCCCGCTTGATGATGAAATCCTCGAGCGAGGCAGGTGCTGGCGCCTTCCGCTGCATTTGTCCGCCGCTGGGCGCATGCCTTGAGCTCGCCGAATCCGTTTTACCACGCGAAAGTATCTATAAAAGTGTTTATTAAATTATTTGATATTTTCCGCTGCATTTTCTTACCATTTTCCAATGCTATCTTATTCGCTTATGTTGAGTTCGTTTGCTTTTCGTGCTTCCTTGCTTCCTTGCTGGCTGGTTGGTTTTGTTGTGGCTTGAAGGCGCTTGGTTACGGTTGCTTGGCAACTTGGCAACGCGGCGTCGATAAAGCAGTTCGAATGCTTCACTGCACTGCCAACGAAGCACGGCAGAGCCAACTGTTGCTTTACATCTTGGTGGCCCAGAAGTAACCCCGACTACGAGACGCACTATGGAATCCCGACTTTTCATTTCTGATATGCGCTATTCTGTTATTCTGTTGTTATTTTCCTTTCGCTCTGTAGCTGATGCAGCAGATATTTGTTTTTCATTTTTTTATGTTTTTTTTGTTTTTATACCCTGTACCCAAAGGGTATATTAGTTTTGTGCGAGTGTACATGGAACACACAGAAGGAGGCGTGGCAGACCCCACAAAGTGTATATATTCTTGATCAGCATGACAAGCGGACTCGATATAGCCATGTACGTCTGTCTGTCCGTCTGTCTGTTCGTATGTCTGTCCGTCTGTCTGTTCGCATGTCTGTCTGTATGAACGCAAGGATCTCCGAAAGTATAAGAGCTAGAATAACCAAACTTGGTACCCAGATTTTCCTGAGCTCAAGAAAGGACGAGTTTGTTAATTTTTTCTGATGCACCCCCCGACTCCCCCCCCTATTCGCGATTTTCTATAACTCCCGCAATTCTTAGAATTTTGAACTATTGAAATTTGGTAGACACATCCAGTTAGTTATTATATATCCGTATACTTATATATTTATTATTATTTATATATTTATTATGATACGTTGATTAGAAAGAAACTTATAGCCATATAACCAGGCCCAAGCTCTGTCCGCAGCTGTATTTGTTGCATTTACACAAACACGCATAGACACGATTCTGATGTAAATGTATGTATGGAATATTTTATATTTAATTAAATTAAATAAATTCAATTATTTTAATAAATTTTTATACCCTGTACCCGTAGGGTAAAAATGGTATATTAGGTTTGTGCAAAGTATGTAACACGCAGAAGGAAGTATCTCCTGTACATGAACATGTCTTTAATTTAATTAAATAATTTAATTAATATAATTTTTTTTAATTATTTAATTTTTTAATTTATTATTTATTTTTTTCATTTTTTCTTTTTTGGTGGGAGGTACAGGGTATTTAAGTCAACTCCTGCTCGACTTTAGCATTCCTTTCCTGTTTTTTGTTTTTTTTTTTTGTACCTCTTGGTGCACCTTGGCACTTGTGTGGATGTGTTTGTGTGCGTGTGTGTGTGTGCGTTCATATTCCATTACGGAATTCCTTTGCATTTCACTTAACGTGGCTTCGGCTAGCATGGCTTGCATGCATTGTTGACACAGTTGCTTTATTTATAAGTTGCTCACACGCATAAATATGTATGAGAAATATGCGTCTGCCTGTCTGCATATGCATGTGTGTGCGCGCGTGTGTGTGTGTGTGTGTATGTGTGTGTCACTCAAACGCCTTGCAGCATGCAATGCTTTTAGATTTTGTTGGCTGACGCTGCATAATAGCATTCTCTTCAAACGTCACGCACAAGTTATTTGCTTAAGCATTGCAAATATCTTAAAGTTATCAATTGTGTACAGAGTCTGCACCATCAGGCTTTTAACTTGGCCTTTAAGGTGGTCTATATGCTCTGAAAAGTTTTATTAATTTCAATTAATGGCACAAGTTATTTGTTTAAATTTTGCTCCATTAAGATTTGAAATATTTTATAAATTGTAATTATTAATTCCATTTTTTTTTTAATATTGCAAATATCTTTAAGATATCAATTGTATACAGGATTTGCTCCATCAGGTTTTTAACTTAAGCTGAAATGTTCTATAAACGGTTCTAAAATTAATTTCCATTAATTTTCTGTCAAAAGTAACTCATTTCTTGCAAAATAGTGGACACACGCCAATTTATTGAATGTGCTGCCTTCTGAGCTTCTTTTATGAATGAGCTTCTGTGTCGGTCTGGCTCGCATTTTAAAAAATTGGTGGGTCATACATTTTAAAAAAGTTATAGGGAAACAGTTCAAAAATGAAACAAGATGGAATGCTACCGACAGTAATAAATACTGTACCCAATAACTAATCAATTTTCTTATAATTGACCGATTTTATTGAAATTTAAAACAAAATTAGAGTATTTTATATTAATAACGAAGGCACAGCTTAATTTATACAACTTTAAAATGCTGGAAAAATTGAAGAAAATAAAATATGTAAATAAATAAATTTATAGGAGACTATACATACAAACCAAGTTTGGATAATGCAGGCTCAGCCGTTTCAGATTTGTTTCGTCATACGAATTAAGAATATATAGGTTTTATCGGGTTTGTGATGCTTTCTTCTTCACTGTTACAAACTTTAAAAAGGATATATATTTTCTTTCTGCGCGTAGAGGGTATAAAAGACCTTTGAAAAATACTTGCAGTAAACAATAAAGGTCCAAAAATATTGATTGAAAGTTTCTCAGATAAAACTACTATATAGAGAGTTTTTGAGTAGAACTCCTAATTATGATTTAGGGTTTATGCTCTCAGTTATTTGTAGTATTTGGTGTTTGTGGTACTTTATTCAATGGCCTTTATCCTTTTGGCCTTTCCTGATAAATAAGATATAGTATGTAAGCTAAGGCTTGAATTTCCTTGAATTTATTTCAAAAATATAAATATAAAATCATAAGCTTTACACCTAAATACAAACCCTATTCAGTTGCTTAAGAAATATATGCCATTTGAGGACAACAATCAGTTGTTGACTAGTGGGTATAACGTAATTCAATCGCAGTTTCAAGAGTCTTAAGCTACACTTGAGGAGTGCATCATCATTATAGTAAAGACTTACTGTTTAAGAAAGTGCAATAAATTCAGAGTGAAATTTCTGGCAAAATCTGAAAAGTTATTGCGCCACAAGATGCTACAGCTCTGTCCTCCAGCACTTCCTTGGGGCAGTTATTATGCATGCTTCAGTGGCAACAGCAACAACAACAACAGCATTTGACTGCAACTTTAGTTCGCCCACTGCCACTAAAAATGTTACTGCTGCCCATCATCGGCAATAAATCGGCATGATGTCCATTTTTATTTATTTTCGCATCTCAAGTGTTTAGTTTACGCTTCAGAAAATCGCCATTTTCCAACTTCATTTTGTGCAACAGCCAAAAGTTGCAGCTGAAGGGAACATGTGCCAAGTCCGAGCCCAGTTGGAGCCCAAAGGAAACAGCAGCTCGTCCTGAGCCGGTTTGACTTGAGCTGCGTTGCAGAGTTCGGGGCAGGAAGAAAGCACTAAGTGAAAGGAAAATACGAAAATGCAGCAGGGAGAAATAGAGAGAAATAGAAGAGAATGTAGAGGAAGAATTGTCATTGCCATTTCAATTTCCGTTTGAATTTTGCACTTCATTTCGCAAGTTCGCAATATTCTTGTGATTTTTTCTCAGCCAGCAAATCGGCAAAGAAGACACTAGCAATGAAGTCAAGTCAAGGCGCACACACACACACACACACACACACACACACACACACACACACAAATATGTTTGCCAAAGTGTGTAGCAGATGAAAGCAGAGGCAATGCAAATACTAAAGTGTAAAAACAAAACAAAACAAGAGGCGGAGGAGTGTAAATCGGGAGCAGGAGCAGGAGCGGGAGCGGGAGGGGTGGCTCGACGGGGCACCGAAGCGGATGACAATAAATTGTCACTTGGCGCTTGAAGCTGCTTCTTGGCTGTAAAAATGTAAACACGAGCGCAATGATAATGATGGAAAATATCATCATGGCTGTCAGTTAGAAAAAAAAACGAACTAGGTAGAGAGAAGCAGACACAATTGCATGTAGCACTGACACGGCACGTCCCCGTAGCACCGCCCCCAGTCACTGCCCCGATCCGACCCGACCCCGTCCGACCCGGCCCCACCATTGTTGCTGCCTGCTGTTTATTTGTTTGACAAATAACGAGCGAAATAATGAAGGAGGTGCAAATGATGTTGGCATTGTTTATTCGACTGCGAAATGTAATAGGCGCTTCTCTCAGCGCTCTGCGCTCAACGCTCAGCTCTCAACGCTCAATGCTCGACGGCTGCCCGCCTGCTGCTTTTTTATGGCTGATTTGACAGGAAACGGAAACGCGAAATTGCAAAAGCGCAATAAAGTGTAGCATAAACAAAGGCGCGCACTGAATACACAAATTCAAGTAGCGAACAACGGTGTGTCGACACACACACACACACACACACACACAGATACACACATACACAGGCGCACACTCGAAAATAAATTTGTGTATTTGTCGTTTGGTCTGTTTTTATTTTATTTCATTTTATTTGCCTGTTTTGTGTTGGGAAACAGATTGTTTTCATTTCCATATCTATCCACATTTTTATATTCAATTTTTCGCATTGACTTGCATTAGTCGCTCATATTTCTGTGGCCTCTCTATAATTTATGTATATAGTATTATGTGTATATAAAAATATGCTTATTCAAGAGAGAGTTAAAAAGCCAAGAGATCAATATTATGTATTTTTTGGCGCCCCTCGTTGTGAAAAAATATGGTGTTTTAAAACATTTCTATTGATGCGAGTGTGCAATGCAAGCAAATGTTGACAGAATCATTGCAAATATATTTAAATATAAGAGAGAAAGCGTACGATTTTTAAAAATACTGCACAAATGTGTGTTGTTTTAGGAATTGCAGTTTTGTTTAAAAGAAAGCAGTATTATTTTTATAATGAGATTCTAATTGATTTCAATTGTGGTTTTTTAAAATACTGCACAAATTTATTTTTATTTAAATTGGAGTTTTGTTTTAAAGAAAGTACGTATTATATTAAGAATGAGATTCTAATTGATTTCAATTAAAATAATTCGTCAATTTTTTTTAAAAATTATTTCCAAGCCTGATTATGTTGACTGAACCATTGCAAATACTTTGAAATATAAGAGAGAAAACGTATTTTTTTTTTTTTTTGAAATACTGCACAAATTTGTGTTGTTTTAGAAATTAAAGTTTTGTTTAAAAGAAAGTACGATTATATTAAGAATGAGATTCTAATTGATTTCAATTAAAATAACATATTCATGGCATACTTTTTCAATTCGTGAAATTTTCGTAAACATTATTTGCATGTTTGATTATAACATTAAACATTTTGTCAGTTTTACAGATATTTTTGACACAGTTTAGAACAATCAAATTATTAACAAAATTGAATAAAAGAA